GAACAAGATTCTTGATCTTACAAAAGAGTTTAAATTCTTCTTTAGAATCTGATGGTAAAAATAAGAGCTTGCTGTTATAATGGAAATACAGAGGTTATTCCTAAAGTAATGTCTCCTATTTATTTCCATAGAAACTTGAACAAAGAGCACAAGAACACTATTTGATAGAGCAAATTCTCAGCAGTGAAACACTCTTTTTCAACATAGTCACCACCATTAGCTATGATGCCTGCATGGTGCACTAGTAAAATTCTGTGCCAGAGAGGTGAACCGCTGTCTCTGTCACCGCTGCAGAAATAGACCACCCACCGTGTCACTGCACTCTCTTCCACTGTTTGGTCTCCATAAACTCAGCAGGCATTGATGAATTTCAGTGGGTGCCATTTTTTCTGTATGGAGGGATTCAGTTCCACACCTTTCTTCATATGCACTTCCATGTCAGATGCCATTGTGTGAGACTGTCCCTCTGCTGCCATCTGTCACATGGCAACAAAATGTAATGGAATATTGGTGTGAAGATTCAACCTCTTCTGCCGTGCCACCAACATTCACCTCTGATGTCATGGGCCAAGTTAAAAAACTAGGAGGCATCACTTTCAGAGAAGCACTCAGTACCAGTGAAAAACATTAATTTAAAAATTTAATATTTCTTGAGTTTTTGAGTATTTGTTTACATCATCTTTATTCCTGTATTTTTTTTAAATACAGAATTCATCATGGTACTTAATATTTGTTTCTCATTGTCTTTATAAGGCATTATATATGGTACTTGGTCTTTATTTTGCAAATGTATAGCTGATGGGATTAACTAAGTACTTCATCAGATACTACCTGGGAAGAAAAGCAATATTCTAGGCATTACTTGATATATGAAGTGCAAGTTCATGATTACACTCAGACAGTGTCAAAAGCAATTAGTGATTTTTGGATTTTACTGATAATGGCTAACAAGGAAATGATCAGCTATGTGAGTATGCCAGATAAGAGTGGAAAAATTGATGTTTTGAAAATGGATTTGCAGTATAAGTTTGCAATATATTTGTAGGACTTTAGTTACATTGCTGGGATTATAACTGGTATTGAAATATATTTAAACTGATAAGTGTGTTTCATGTTAAGTATGGGTTTGCTCTTATTACCACTGACTTTTTAAAAGTAAGAATAACGGTAGACAGTGAACAAAAGTCAAAGCCCTATCATTTAGGCTCAATCCTAATGATGTTTTTCATAAGATTACTAGTAGAGAAAATGACTATATAGAAGTAAACCAACTAGGGTTAACCTCTTAATTAAAAAGATAATATATCTATTTCACTATGGCATAATTTTGCTGATACTACTAAGCAACTGATCAAAAGCTTTGCCTATCATTTGACAAGCCACCTAATCAATGTCTAACTACAATCATGATGTATCATAATAATTCTCAGTTTATAACCAGTTAATATGATTGAATTAAAAGGTAACCAATAATCATATATTTCTGTCTTGAATACTCTCACAGATGAAGACAAGCCAAACAAAGGAATCTGATCCATTAAAAAGTTGATTATTTTACAATGAATCATTATTATTTAATGATTAGAAATGGTTGTAATTCATCTGACCAAACATGGTCTTGGAACAGGAGAATGTAGAGTTCAAATGCTTTCAATAATAAATAAAAACAAATGATTTTTTTTTTTCTATAGTTACATGTAATTTAATGGACTTTGATCTAACAAGTTATTACCTGTGAAAATCATGAAAGGTATTGATGACACTGATTTTTGAGTGCTTGTTAACACATAAGGTTATAATGGATTGAAATAAGCTATTAATTATAATAGTTACTTTTAAGCAACTCTACCTGTGACCCTGCCTATTCCAGAAATGAATGTCACATTGCAAACATATGAAACCACTTTCATCTATTTCTTAAAAACTTCATCTGTAAACAAGCATCTTCTACTTAGCTTGTGCAAGATAAAAATTTGGTCCAAAGAAATCAAAATGTTCTACTTCAAAGTTAAAACTGTTACAGCTAACAAACAAAATGTAGCAGCTAAACATCTCCCTAGTTTCATCGTCTCTCTCCTCATCCCACCAACATAAGCAGATCCTGCTTGCAAGATGCTGACCAGTAATGAGAGACAATACATATCCATCACACTCACTGCCTCAGAGAGTATGAAAGGGCATACTGCTTTTTGCAAGGTTGTATTAAAATTATAGATGTAAAATTTGAAGATATACAGGTAAGAAACAAACTGTATGATGAGTATCATTCCTAAAATAGGTTTTGGTTTCTACCCTACCAAGTATCCACTGAAGAAACAATAAAACAATGCTTCCCAAAGACACACAAGTGAGAGGGAAGCAGCTAGTCCCTGGAAGGGAAGATATCAAATGTACAGTGTTCTCATAGGAATAACTTACACAGCAATTTATGAGCAAGTTTGAAAGTTGTTGGAAGGAATATTGTGTTATTACTCTCGCAGGAACCAAAGCTGTTATTGTGCCACTGGCCTGCTTCACAGTGTTATGTTTTACACTTAGAAACTGTCACGATGCTCCTCGACATGAACTTTGAACCAGCTCCAAATGATAGCTAATCAATGTAGTTTCATAAATTACTTCAGATAAGCCTATTCTTTACATGCCAGAAGGCTCCTCTAAGCAGCTTCACATGATTCTTGTTGCATTCCACACTGCCTTAAACATATAATAAAATATCTACCAAAGTGCACCTATTCAAACTCAGGTACAAAATGAGTTAAAAGAGGAATGGGAACAAGCATTTCCAAATAAACAAACAAACCACCCCCCAAAAAAGCCCTGTTTGTAATTAGTGTAGAGTGAGAATTTACTGCCCTATTTCAATTTAATACAACTATTTATACAATGGTGCCAACTTCACAGCTTAGCATAAAAGACACGCAAAGAAAGAGGGAAAGGGTATATTAGAGACCTTTCTTTCATTCAGATGGAAAGTTCAGCCACGATTTCAGTGGCTCAGAGGCTTCTAAGAATGTGTCCAAAGAAAACCTTGCAATTGGCATTGTTTAGCTCAGGAGAGAGCCAGAACTAAAACAACATTTCCTCACTCAAGGCAGACGAACCAAGTTATATAGGAAAAATCAAAGTGGTTATGCTAGGCATAATTTCAAAATAATACTGTGGGAATGTAACAGAAACTGAAAACGTGGAACTTCGAACCAAAATCATATATGCATATTTCCTTGAGAAAGATGCTTAAGTTTTAAACACAAAAACCTGGATTTAAAAATAGCTTTACAGTACCTATGAACAGCTTTCATAATTATTTTCATGTTTCGATGGAAAAAGGTTGTTGCTGACTTAGGTTTTATTTGTTGTATTTAAACATAGCCCTGTTATATTTTGCAACTATAAACATTACAATCATGCCAATGCACAAGGAGGAACCAGAAAATGCAACTCAGTAAAAAACAAAACCTGGAACTCATTCATCCAACGAACGGCTTAGCAAAACGCCAAAGCAAATACCAATCACAAAAACATACAAAAATGTTAAATATAAAATTGGCTTAGGTTTTAGCCATTTGAGGTATCACAAGCAACACAGATAAGATTTTTTAAAGAATATATGATTTTAATTGACCTTGTCCCTTTAATGATAAATTTACAATGAAAATGACATGTCCACCGTAATTCTGATATACAACATAGCTACCACCAATTTGCTGCAAATGCCTTTGCATTGTATTTGTTTGTGGCAGAAGAGTAAATCTGATAAAAAATAAATTCTTATACATATCCATTCTTATGAGCTTAAGAACAAGATGAAATATTTAAATAAATGAAGTTAAAATTATATCAAAGAATATAAACTTCCCTCCTGGATCTCCTCATGCAAGTATGTCCTCAGCACACTGTCATAAAGTGAAGACAAGATTTGTTTGATGAAAATGTGGCAAAAGTATGTATTTGATGCTGGCCTGGTATTTTTCCTCTTGTCAACTGGAGTAATAACTTTTCCTCACCTCTAGTATTGATGGCATTGCACCCCCACAACTCAGAGGCCATTTGTGTTGGTCAGAACACATATGGCTGATAAATACGTGGCACCTGCACAGTTTCTGATGTGTTTGCTGATCCCCTGAGGCCCCACTCCCAAATGCTGCCAAAGATGCTAGGGGCAGATGCTCAGATAGTTGCCATGGACAGACAAGAGGAGGTGGTTTTATTTAATGTGGAAGAGAAAGAGTTTGTTCCGCCATCTCTCAGCTCTCACAATATGTACTCAGGCCTTGGTAAAAAAAAAAATACTTGAAGTAAATGTCAGCTAAAAGCACCCAAATCATGTTTGGTAATGCAAAAAAAAGGACATATTTTAGGGTATGGTCAGTTAAGATATTCAGAGCCTCCATTGTTGCTTCTAGAAATGTCAGGGCCATTCAGAAATGTCAGTTCCTTTGCTAGTTTCCAGATTGTAACTGAAGGATCATGTAGCTCTCTCTTTTTTTCTCTCTCTTTAGTAGGTCTATAAAGATCAGCTGGAAAGTGTAGACAACAATTGTTCATTGGTTAGCTTTACTTAGAGCTACAGGGTATATATGTGCTTGGTTTTGCCTTATTGATCAATCTAGCTTACATTTTTAGCACATACAAATAAAAATCAGGAAAAAAAAAGTCGATGAAAAACACGAACAACACAAAACAAATAAGATTCCAATCGTGCAAATTTTGCTTCACTGGATAAAGCACTTCTTGACACAGTAATGTCCAGAATACCCCTCCCCCAGAAAAATACAGAATTGAGACTGAAGCCATTCTTTTTTTTTTTTTTTTTTTTTTTTTTTTTTTTTTTTTTTT